CACTGGCGTTGGTTGCATGAACAGCAACGGCGATTGGCCTGGCCAACTGGCCACCGCTCCCCCTCTGACCTCACCTCCGCCTCTGCCCACCCCGCGGACCTGCTGTCCTTCAAACACTCCAGGTTCATCCTGCCTCATCCCTCTTCCAGGACGCGTGTCATTGATCCCCACCCCCATCATCCCCACACTGGGTGCCCCCTCCTTTGGGTCTTTACTCCAACATCACTTGACTGAGACCTTGCTGTGTAGAAGAGCACCCCCAGCTGCCCCGATCTCCTGCCCACGATGCTCAGCCCCTCGGGGCAAGGTGCTCGTGTGCGCTGAACGAATGAATGAGTGCGAGTGGGAGGCACCGGGGTGAACCGAGTGCAGGCAGACCCAGGAGAGGTGCAGGAGGGGGGTCCTCAGCTTGGTACCGCGCTGCACAGAGGGGCTCGGGGTAGAACCCAGGACAGCTGGCGGGGGGAGGAGGCGGCGGGCAGCAGAGAGGACAGCTGGCTGCGCCTAGTGCTGCTGGAGGGTCAAGGGGAGGCCATGGTGGTCTCGGGGCAGGGGGGGCGGGGTGGAGGGAGCCGGCTGCAGTGAGGCAACCGCGGAACTGTGAGGGAGGGCCCGGGGCGGGGCAGCTGGACCGGGCTTGAAGTGTTGGAGAGAAGCCACTTCAGGGTGTAGGGCTGGGCCCCCCAAACCATCTCTGGGGAAGAAGGCGAGGCCTCAGGGTCCTTACATCAGGGAGGCAGCTTCGGTGTGTCTGGGGGCGTCCCAGGGTTGCTCCCTTGACTATCCGGCTGCAGAAGTGCTGGACTGCCGGTGCCCCTGAGGCCGACTCTCCCTGGGAGCTGGTCCACCAGCCCACACAGGCAGCACCAGCCCAAAGGATAGCAGGCCTGGAGGAGCAGGCAGTGGGCGGGTTTGTGAATGAATGAAACTGGCCACTCTGGAGGTGCCAGCCCAGACGGCATCTCCGAGAGGGATGCCCTCCTCCTCCAGCCGCAGTGGCTCCCTGTGGGCAGGGCGAGCCATCAGGGTGCGCCAGACCACAGCCCAGCTCCACACACAGGGCCCAGCCTTCTCAGCGCCTTGCAACCCCTCTCCCCACAGTCACAGGGACAGATGTGCCAACACTATGTCAGGTGGTCCAAAAGGCCTGGAGGGTGGCAGTGAGGAGGGCCAGGTGTGTCCTCCAGGCAGGCACCTCCAGTGCCAACCTTCTCTGCTTTCTCTCTCGGTGCCCAGGTACGTGACCGGCAGACCCACAGCGGCCGGGCTGGTGGGAGCAGGCCAGGCCCATTCATTCCAGCACCAGGCCAGGGTGGGCCTGGAGGCATGCATTGTAGCCTCGGCTGCCCCCCACGGAAGGGCCAGGTGGACACATCTATCTGGGCAGGCAACGCCACCCCAGGTGTTTCCATTCCCCAGCCCTCCCAGAACCTTTCTGAGTTTGGCACAGCTCCCCAGGGTTTGCAGCAATGGGGATTACTTGGGAGCCAGGGACCTTTTCTTGGGAAAGACCCCCATGTGCCCTGCAGCCTGTGAAGCCCCATCTTTGAGGGCTGGGTGACAGTGGACATCAGCACCCAGAAGGGCCAGCTTCCGTGTCATCTTGCCTGTGGTGAGGGGTGTGGAGGAGGGGTCCTCACTGCCCAGGCCTCCCTTGCCCTGGCCCACCCTGCCCCCACCCAGCACCTGAGGCACAGCACGGAAGACACACAGATGGTGGTGATTTTGAGTGATTTTATTGGGATTGCGAGCGTGAAGGTTAAAGACAAAACCCGAGCGATGGATTCTGCCAGAAACGTCAGCAAGTTAAAGGATCAAGTGGAGAAATGGCGGCGAACACGTGGCCGCTGCAAGGGAGGCTGAGACAGCAGGCCCAGGTGACACGGGTGTTCGGCACGTGGGGGGTCTTCAGGTGATGGCACAGGGAGGGCCAAGGGGGGCCCCCGCTGAAGACAGTTGGAGGGGTGTGGGGAAGAGAGCAGATGGACGCCACTACCACGGGCCTGGGTGGTCAGGAAGGCGGCCGTGGCCAGGGGCGCTGGCCACCACGGGAGAGCTTAGAGGGTCACAGAGGGGCAGTGGCAGCGCCCCCGGAGCACCCAGCCCGCGAGGCACAGTCGTAACACTGAAGGGCTGGGCATCCGGCCGAATGGGCAGTAATTTGGGGTGCCTCGAAGTCTTCCGGGTCTTCCGTCAATTTGCCTGGACTGTCCAATTGTGACAATTTAGCTTTTTGGCTTTCACAGAAGGCCCACTGCCAATGGTCCAAATGGCCCCTTCTCCGAGCGCTGGCTGGCTGGCCCTCTGTGTTGTGGGCGGGCTGGCATGGACCGCCCCCAGGGTCATGCCAGTCCTGTTGCCAGGACCCCAAAGCCGCGGGCCTCTAGACTGCTAGTGGGCTGCTGTGCAGGGGGGCTGCACTGGAGGCAGAGGCGGGGGTGAGGTAAGCCTTCCAGCCGCCCTGGTCCCTGCCCCAGCCCTAGGCACCGTGGTGGCTGTCGAGGAATGCCAGACCTGCGGCTGCGGGGCCCAAGCAACCCCAGTCGGTAGGTGGACCTGGGCGGCTCTCCTTGCTCTGTAAGGCTCGTGCCATCCTGATCTCCCCGACTCCCAGACCTCACCCCGCGGGCCCCCAGGAGTCCCCCACAGAGCTGCAGGACTCCCGAGGGTCTGGCAGGGCGCTGAGGAGGCAGGCAAGGTGTCTCCGAGGGGTGGGGGGCGGGCTCCCCGAGTGCACAGAAGGCGGCCACTTGCTCCCGCCGGATGGAGCCCTTCACACACGCTGCAGCCCCCTCCCTCCCGGTGACCAGGTCAGCCGGGAGCCCCTTCCTGTGGCCTCCGAGCACCTTCCTGGCACTCGAGGGGAGGCTACTCCGCCATCCCTCCGCCCCTCAGGACCTCCGGGGACCAGCCACTGTCCCCGGAAGCTAGGTCAGGGAGCGGCCCTCTCAATTCCCCTCAGGCTTCTCCGCGGGCGCAGTGGCCACGCCGCGGAGGCCCCACTCTCCACCTGACCCAAGCGACAGGGACAGACTAAAGGTCGGTGGTGAATAAATGGCGGGGAGCAGGACAGGTGTCGCCCCACGGTGGTTGGGGGGCCATGCTTCGCTCATTCTTCCTCGGTCACTGCTCCCCTGTTACATGGGGTCAGGGGTCAAGAGCGCAAGAAAAGCTAAGGGGGGATCAAAAAAAAAAAAAATAAAAGAGAGAAAAAGGAAAGAGAAGCCCCAAGAGATGGCGACGAAGGGGGGAAGAGACCGACTGACGTGGATTTGGGTTCCTGATCGCGTCTGTAATTCTGCACCTCTCTCGTCCTCCTGACTGTCCGCCCCAAGCTCTCCTGCACCACCTCCGAGCCCAGAGCTCCCCTACCCAGCCCCCACTGCCCCCCACCCGCCCCTCCGACCGCCAGACTTCCCGCTCTTCCCGTCATCAGGGCAAGCCTCGTGGGGGCCCTCTTCTGGTGAGGCTCCCCAGGAGGCTGGCAATGATGACCACTCAGTGTGCCGCTGAGGGCGGGGGATCCCAGATCTTTCTCCCAGGGGCACACGGAGCGGGTCAGGCTGCTGCGGGACACACCTCACTGGCCACCAGCAGCTCGGGCCAAACTCGCTCCTCGCTCCTCGCTCGGCTAAGCTGGTGAGTGCCTTAGCACTGGGTGCTGGGGAGCTGTGGCTCGCACCACAGGGGACACGGCCCCCAGGGAGGCCCAGAGGCGCTGTCCCACCCGCAGCACTGGTTGGCCCCAATGAGCAGTGTGATGGGGGACAGGGAGACCGGAGGAGGCGAGAACCTCGGCAGAGATCAGTTTAGAGAAGTCGGAATGGAACTCAGGCCTAATCCCAAATGCTGGGCTCATGTTCTAGTCCTTCCCTACACTTTGCTGTGTAGGGGTGTGTGTGTGCATGGGTTGTGCATGTGCGTGAGTGTGCAAGCATGAGGGAAGTGTGCGCAGTGTGGCTGGGAGTGTGTGTATGCATGTGAGCATGTGTCTCTCTAGCTGTGCGCACACGTGTCTGTGTGCATGTGAATGTGTAAGTGTGTGCACTTGAGTATCTAGCTGTTGGTATGCATGCGTGCCTGTGTGTGAATGTGTGAGTGGGTATGCGTGTGAGTGTGTGTGCTTTTCAGGCTTGGGATGAAGATATAAGTTTTGGAGAGTTTCGGGGGATGGATTTTAGGGTGCATTGAAGCATTATTCCCACTGACTGAGATTTTCACGCTCCGTCCCCCCATCTTCCTCAGACCCACTAGCTCCAGGGCACTTATTCCTGATGGAAAAGGAGCGAAGAAAGAGTTTGGGAGCTACGTCACCGCACAGCCCGTCGCACCTAATGTGCCAGGTGGAAGGTTTTGTGTGAGAGAGGAGAATGCAATGCTGCAGGGTGGCCACTTCCCAGGCCCCTCCTCTCTCTTTCTGATCCAGGGACTCAGAGTCTGCGGCCAATATTGACTCCATGTCCAAGGGGGAAAGGGGAGGGCACCGAATTCTTTTTTTGACAATTATTTTCAGCCAATTAATTAGTCTGTTAGCAGTTTTCCAGCCAATTGATTTTTCAGTTTGTTTTTTTTTTAAAAGCTAATTAATTTTTCAGGTGTTAATAAAGAGCCAATTGGCTTTAAGGGCCGATGGGGCCAGCATCGCTTCTCGGTTTTGATGTCCATATGTCACGTGGGGGTAATTTAGAGGCCAGGAGGATGTTGACAGCCAGCCATGCTTGTTATTTTTAAAGACTGGCTCTTCAGCCCGGTGGAGGGGCTGGAGCAGCAGCCTGACCGGGGAGGCTGGGACAGGGGGGCTGAGGGCAGGGAAGCCCACGGGGGGAGACGGCACAGGGAGCTTAGAGGCGGGACCCTGATGGGCAGGCCCCTGGTCAGGAAGAGGTGGAGGGCGATGGTGATGGTCTGCAGAATTACAACAATTTGGCTCACTTCTAATTGTCGCGTGGCTTGGTGGCAGGGCCCACGTGGGCAGCGTCATCAGGGGCAGCCGTTGGAGATCACTGGGCCTGGTTGGGGAACTTCTTCTGGATGGCTTGGAAGAGCTCCGTGTTGATCAGCTGGCCCAGGCCGTACAGGAAATCAGGTAACCCCCTACGCAGTCTCTGGGCAGACTGCTTCCAGGCGCCATATTGGAAGAACTTGCCCACGGGGTTTCTGGGTGTGTCCTGAGAGGGCAAAGAGGAGTCAGGGAGCCCGCCGCGCTCTGTTGGGGGCCCCCAGCCTGTTCAGAGAAAGCCCTCTCTGGGCTGCCCTGGTGGTGCTACCCAGACCACCAGCTCATTACAGCTGAGTGTAACTAACACCTGGGACTCTTCCAGCAAATCCCCTTAGAACCAGCAGCAGCCCTGGAGGCATCTGGCTGCACTGTTCACCAGGAAGCTGCCTGCTCCCAACTCCTGGCCCACAAGGCCCCAGATTCCAGGAGCCACCCTAATTCCTGTGTCCTCTGCAGTTAGGTGAGTGGCATCCCTGGGAGCCTTCTGTTTCCCTTGCAATGGCCTGGGACCCAACTCAGAGGACCAGCACAAGGCCCCAGAGCTGGGCCGGCTGGCGGCTGTGGGCCACTTCCTCTTAGACCCAGCCTTACCGGGTGTCTGGTCAGAGAGGCCGACACGTCTCTCTCGGACTTGGCGGGGGTGGCGCAGTAGGTCTCCAGCAGCGCCAGGTTGCACCTTTGGAAGCAGCATTCTTCCACGATGCCCCGGGGACGGCGATGGCTGTAGCGAGTCGCAGGCCTGCCTAGAGGCACCAGGCAGAAGGGAGCAGGTTAGCACCAGAGCCCCCATGGGAGGTGTCAGGCCATCCCTGCTGTCATGAGAGGCCCTGGGCAGAGAGGACCCTGGTCACGCTGGGAAGGGCCAGCCTGCACAATGGCATGGGAGAGGAGAGAGGGTGGGGCAGCCAGGGATGAAGTCCTGAGGGAGAATGAAAAGGAAGGGGCACAGAGGCCGGAGACAAAGCTGGCCCCCTTGTCCTGTACTGAAAATGAGCCTGGTCTCTCTTAGTCCCCAGCCCACAGGGCAGACCCTCTAAGGATGGTGGTCTGATTAGGAGGGTAGGGATGGGCCCAGCTCAGGGGGTCACCCGGCAAGAGGTCTGGCACCCGCACCCCGGGCCCCAGGCCCTGAGACCAGCGTCGTCCCCAACTGGGGACCCAGCCCGGCGCCCAGGCAACACGCAGATGGGCAGGGATGGGGGGGGGAGGAGACGGGAGGAGAGGAGTGAGGAGCTTTGATGAGACCACGTGCTCCTCTCCTCCTGTCCCCTCCCCCTCCCCACGACAGGGCTCCTCCGGTCCCAGGCTCAGCCAGAATGAGAGCGTATCCCCGCCTGCTTCACCATCAGTGGGGGCAGAGACCCGCAGGGGACCCTCGGGGAGGCGGGGCGGGCAGGAGCTCCAAAGGAGAGACCCAGGAGCGCTCCTTCGAGCTGGGGAAGGCCAGCGTGGGGCCCTTTACAGTGACACAGGCCCATTTCACAGTGGGGGAGGTCAAGGCTCTGAGCTCAGTGTGCCCACATCAGCCCCTCCTGGAGCTGATCTAATGGCACAGGCCAGCTGAGCTCCCAGAAGAGGCACACCTGCAGGAAGATGACAGAACAGGAGCCCCCTCCCGCACCCTTTCAAGCCCAGTCCCTCCTGCTTCTCGGGCTGGCTCTCCCACCGACACCTGGGCAGGACTGCTATCTGCCCGGATGGGGTCACTTCCTTCCCCTGGACCCAGCAAATGCTAGCTCAGCCCTGCCCTCTGGGACACTGGGGCTTGTTTTTGTGTGTTTTAAGTGACCCCAATACCCCTGACTGTGTCTCTCTGGTTAAAAGGTCAGATATCCTCAAAATGGGCCAAAGAAAAGGCAGGGGGCCCCTTCAGAGCCAACCCCTGCTGGAAGGGGCCCCTGCTCGGGGCCAGGGCCACTTGGACTGCACCCAACAGGGAGCAGTGGGGAGTGCACCGAGGGTCTCCTCCTGCTCAGGGCATCTCAGGGAAGCCAGACGTCTGGGCTCGCCCCTTGGGGTGGGTAAGGCTGTGGGTGGTGGGCCTGTCCCCAAGCCCATGTCCCACTGCCGGGCACTATGTGTCTGGGGTACAGACCCAGGGCGCTCCACAAGGCGGCATCACTAAGAGGAAGTGGGGACTTGGGACACAGGCACAGCCAGGAGGTCTCAGCGAAGCTGGGGAGTGGGGGTGGGGATTAACACCTCCCAGGACAGGGCTGGGGACAGTCCTTTAACTCACAAAAGGACAAGCCCCTCTTTCCCCAGAAAAGGTGGTCCCAGAGAAGGACCTCGAAGCCCCACACCCTGCACCAGACCGCCCGCAGCCACACCTTCTCCCTCTACCAGGCGGGCTGTGGAGTTGCCACTGCCCACCTCTGGGGGACAGAGCTCCGCCCCACACCCACCCATAGCACGTGGCGTTCTGGGGAGCAGGAGCCTACAGCTACCCCTCCCTGTAAGTCTGGGTAAGGCCTGCCCCCCAGGCTACCCTGGCTGGCTTTCCAGGGTCCAGCTCCCGCAAAGAGACCACCCCACCCTCGGGAGGGGAAGGAGGAGGAATCAGAGAGTGGGCTGTTGGCCGTGTGAGTGGCCCAGAACACAGAGCCAGACACACGGCAGGTGCTCAGTACACACTGGCTGCGGGGCCATCATTCTCTGAGCGACTCCCTCTCAGCCCCAGCCAAGCTCAAGGCCCAGGGCCCTCACCTGCCCTGGAGGTGCGAGCCAGCTTCATCAAGTGACATCAGCAAGCACTGAGGGCCCACTGTGTCCGACACCCCCTCCCCCAGCCTTGAGCCACTTACTGAAGTAGAAGCCGCGGTCCCCACAGACAAACTGGAGGGTGTCTACCAGCTCCCCGCCACACAGGGTCTCACTGGGGCGGTAAGCAGCAGTGCAGCACGAGGCCAAGGCCAAGAAGGTGACAAACCACAGCACCAGCTTCAACATCGGGACCCCCATCGGTGTCTGCAGAGAGAGGGACTGTGAGCGCCCAGACCACCAGCCCACAGCCCAGGACCCGCCCCCCCCCAAGTCAGCAGTCCCTAAGGGGCGCCCTCACTGTTTCTCAAACGAGGAGGGTTTGAACAGTGAGGGGTGCCTTTCCCACAAATCTGGTTTCTGTACGTTGCTGGTTGAGGGCAGCACTGAGCGCTTCAGGAAGGAAGGTCAGGGCTGGTATCATGGGGTCAGTGGCCTTCACCACCATCCCCGTATTTGCCGAGGCCCTGTTCTGGGCACTGAAGCTGGCTTCCACGTATGACATCACAGGCAAGAGCAGACACAAGGGGTCATGCGCCCCCAGAGCCCAAGGACCCCGGAGGGCCAGCCCCTCCTCACCGCCGCCCCCCAGCTAAGCAGGTTGTCCAGCAGGACCAGCCCCCCACAAAGCAGCAGGGGGGCCCTGTTAGGCCAGCCCCACTGTGTTCAAGGGTCAGCTCCACGGTGCTCAGAGCTGTCCACTCTCCTGAGGACCCTTGCTCCTGAATCCCCCAGTTCCCCAACTCCAGTCTGCACTGGGCTCCCCCCACCGCCACCAAAAAGCCAAAGGCCTCCTCCAGACCTCAAAGCACCCCACCCAGCCAACACCCCATGACAGTCCATCCACAACCATGAGATCTCATATTTAGGACCGAACTCCAGCCCCGGGATAAGAGCAGGGGCCACTTGGAGCTGCTGACACAGGTCTGTGACCTGGGAGCCAGGACACCAGGTCCCTCAGGGCCCAATCTGGAAGGAGACAGACCCCTCAGGATACACCCTGCAGACCAGGCAAGGCTGCCCACCTCCATTCAGCTGGGAGGCTCTCCCGCCAGCGAGTAGCCCTCCAGGAGGTGAAAGCCCCTGGAGGGCAAGCCTCACCTTCCTGCCTCAGGTCTCAGGTCGGAAGGGCGGGGTGAGAGCCATGCAGCCAGAGCACCCCTGAGCTGCTGGACACCCCGACGCAAGCCACCAAGGGGCTGCGCATGCTGCCCAGAGGTACCCCTCCCCGGCTGGAGCACCCAGCACTGTCCTCTCCGCGCAGGGGACAGAAGCTATCACTGGATTGCTTGACCCGGGGATTGATGGACGGACCAAATCCCTTCACCAGAGGAGGCGGAACACTCTCTCGCCAGAGCGCTCAAGAGCAGTGGCCGGGCTTCCCACAAGCATCACAAAGCCACCTCGCTTACCTCCTCCTGCCCTCGCCTGGCCCCCAGCCAGTCTCCCTCGTGCCCCAACTGCCACCCAGTCACATCCTAAGAAGAAACTTGGCCGGCCAGAGAGGTCTGTGGCCTGAGCAGCAGCCCCTGGCTTGGCCCTGTGGCCCCTTCCGCAGGCCCAGACACTCTGCAGGGTGAGGTGGGCCCAGGGCACCACCACCAGCTGGAAGGAGAGGGACAGGTGAGGGCCCCGGGCACCGCTGGGGATCCGGGACAGGGGCGGAGGCCGCAGCCAAGGACAGGAGGAGAGAAAGCCAGCGGGAAGGTGGGAGCACAGGGGTGAGGGGCAGAGCAGAGAGAGGCCACCCACGGGGCGGAGGAGAGGCAGCAGGCAGGGCCCAGGCCCAGGCCTCACAGCGCCCTCCAGCAGCCAGGCAGGCCCGCGCGGGTGGCAGAGGCTCCTGGATCAACAGCCCGGTTACCTGCTGTGGCCAGGGAGGCTCCGGGGCTGGAGAGGAAGAGGAGACCGGACCGTTCTCACAGGAGAAGAGAAGTCCAGCTGCAAGGCTGGCCAGTGCCAGGGCTTTTATGTCGGAGTGGGCTCCTCCCAGCCCCGGCTCCACCCTGCCCCCCCACCGCTGACCACTCCCCCCGCCCCCTGCGCCCGCCCCTCCCTCCTCCCGCCCGTTCCTTCCCTCTGCACCCCCAAGGCTAGCTCTGGGCCATTTCTTAGCAAAGTACCCTGGGGGGGGGGTCATCCATACCCCAGCCCATCTCCCCGCAGGGCCAGGAACAAGGGGGGAGGGGCCTGCTCCACCTCCCTGTAGGGAAGCTTCCAGGCTGCCCACTGGGGCAGAGGGCGGCCACCCCTCCAGGGGGACACTCTTCCCGTTCTAAGCCTCAGGCCTGCCCCCTCCCCAGGTTCCCGGTTGCAAAGTTGAGGCCCGGGAGATGCGGGTGGGGGGAGGTCGCAAATGCGGCGTCCGGCGAGACTCGGTCGCCAGCTCGGCCAGGCTCCAAGCTGGCCCCGCCCACTCAGCTCTCCTCGGCGGAACGGCGGGCCCAGAGTCAACCTACCAGGGTGGGCTTCTGGACTTAAGCGCCCCTCCTCGGGCCCAGCACCTTGGGGCCCAGGGCCGCCCGCGCACGGGACACATCACCCACTTTCAGCGACGCCCCCACCGCATCCACAAACCGACCAGGAAGTCGCCCTCGCAGGCAGCTCACACCTCCCCGGGCACTTCCCGACACCCCTCCCCCCAGCCCCGCGGCGCAGGGA